CGTCGGTGCAAAACTGTTTGATCAAATTGGATCAAACTCTGAAAAACTGTTTTTTTTTTACCCTTTCTCAAGTTTCTGAGCCTTTTTAAGACCCGAGTGTTAAACCAGAGTTTTGCGCAACTGTCTTATCCGGTATTAACTTTGCAAAACGTGTGTTCAAAGTCAAAGCGTCGCCTGGCTGCTCTTGACACTATATATTTCTCAACACTTGGGACCTTCTCCGTGCGCAGCAGCTTTCATCTAATGCGCTCATAAAAAGATTTAATTTTAGTTTACGGCGGCGGCTGCGACGACGGTGGCTTTTGGCAGTTTGTCAATCACGGCGCGTTGCAGACTTTTTGAATTAGCAGCCACCGGACGTCCCATTAAAGTGGTGAGCCATCACAACCTGTCTTTAATAGTTTGAGAGGTGCAACTTTTTTTAGAATTACTTACGTTTGTTTTTTATTTTGTCATAGATAAGAATTCATAAAATTTGATAGTTTTTTAAATTCTTTGCTTTAATTTGCTCAGTTTTAATTAATTCCTTATAATAAATTACTTCACATTTTGAACAAATTATAACATTTTTATGAGGAAAATTACCTCTTGTAAAGTTATTTGTCTTTTCTTGTTTATAAATCAAAGGTGTTCAAATTTTAGAAAATTTTAGATAAATAAAAACTAATATTCAAGGCAAAAATGAAGCAAAAATAAAATTAATTGAAGCACATTTAATTTTATCTTCATTTTTAAAGAACTTTAAAAACGACTCGCTTTAAAATTAAATCCTTTTTTAAGATGGCAACATTTGAAGGGTTGGAAATTGGAAGTATTAATTATTGAGCGAATAAAGTGCCTATAATTTTTGTTAAAAATGTACAGCTATTTATATGTAAACATGAGAAAACACTCAATTTTTATCTAAAAAAATTTTCGTGACTTCAAAAACCGTAAAAACTCTCGTAACTAAAATTTTTTTATTTCAACAAAACTGGCAGTTGCTCAAAGAATAAGCCTGTATATGTGCGATTGGAAAATTTCTTGAGCCTCAAAAAGTGGTTCAATTTTGCATAATACAAGGAGGGCTTCTGAGAAAATTGGACAGTTTGTTTCCCATTATTATGTAAATTACAGTCATTGATCGAATCACTATATCACTTTTTGTGCAATTTTCTGATAATGAGGTGGAGTGCCGCGTGACATGGGCCGCATAATGGCTGTTGAACCCTTTTCTATAAAACACAATGGCATACGCGCGTGTCCATTAATCATCAGCGACCTTTCAAAATTTTCACCGTCAGTCGATTTTTTACAAATTAAGCGCCGCCGCTAATTCGGCACCGATTTCAATCGATGCTCACGTTTATTAAAAGAGAGATGCCGTGACGTGCAACCTCATGCTTTTTCTCACTCGCGATTCTCGCGAGGTCATGCTCCCCTTTCGGTCGCGGCGCACCACGAAAGGGCGAATCGATGTGTGGGGGCTGCAGATCTGTTTCGAATTCGTGTCTGCACGGATGCACCTGCCGCTGCCAGCGCGAGAGCCCATTATTATTTGCCGATCTTGGCAGCCGCGGGTCGAGTTATAGTGCCGCACCTCACCAACCAACAATTAGCTCAAGGCTATGGAAACGTTTTGCCGAAGGGAGAACTGCCATTGATTTCCTTTTCAATGCTGCAGATGTGCAATTAATTAGTTCTGCTATTATATAATTTTCCTGTAATGTGGATTTTTCATTATATTACAACTTTGTCCACTCTCACGATGGGAGCTATTTGTTAAAAACCAAACTTTTCATTATTTGAATATGAAAGTTGAATGACTCTGGACCAAAATGTGATAGTTTTTTGGCTAGTGATGCTTTTCGTCATTTTGAAGCGGCCAAACTATTTTTTTCTTCGTTACTTAAAAGGCTGTGGCACCCGAAAAAATTAATCTTTTTGAGATTTTTTAGTGCTGCTGACGTTCAACCTGTATTTGTAAAAAACCAAACTTTTCAGTATTTTGATATGAAAATTTAATGAATCTGGTAAAAAATGTGTTAAAATTGTGGCTCGCAATGCCTTTCGTCATTTTGAAGCAGCCAAACTACTTATATTTTCGTTACTCAAAAAGCTGTGGCTCCCAAAAAAATTAATCTTATAGAGATATTTCAAGGACTAACAATTTAATTTTTTTAAGTAGTAGGATTGATATAAAAAATTGTTTTGTTTTCTCTTAATGTGTTTAACAAGATATTCTTTTTGAATTTTAATCCTTTAAATTCAAAATTTTAATAATTTTAATTTTTGAAATTAATAAATACACGTCATACTTTGATTTACATAAATATTTGCATATTACTGATTGTATTTATTGTCTTTGGTTTTTTTACGACGTTTTATTTTTAGGAAAATCCCAAATTACCCTGCACTTAATTTTTTAAACAGAAAATGAAACAAAATTTAAAAATTTGTCAAATCAAACAACTCAAAATATTAATATGTGGTGAATAAATTCTTCTGGAGATGATCTCAAATAGTCTACCTACAAAAAAGTGTAAACCTGTCGACTCTAATTATGTTAGAAAAATAGTTTCATTAAAATTCTATTTATATTTTGCATTATTAACAACTATAATTAGCCGTTGATTTGACCATACCATACCATAACAATAAATAATAATTGTTTTTCAAAAATTGAATGTAAACAATGTATTTGTAGCAATGTGGACAAATAAACAACAACAATAATAATAATAATAAACGAGATATTTTATTTCAACTATGCACTTAATGATTTACAATTCTTACAATTATGATTTCAAGGCTTTTTTAATAGACACAGAAAATATTATTATATTATATTTTAATTGTTCATTTTATATTTGGAAATGAATATTCTTCAGTGCTCGCCTTTTATATGTCTTCATAATTATTTGCACATTCACGTTCACCGCTAATTTTGGGGGTTTATAGCAGACGCTCGGTTGCTCAACGAGCCGCTAAATGGTGTGCTTGTTATACACACGCTCTCTTCCTCGTCGCGGTGAAATATTAATATTCCAATCGGCGAAATGGGTGTTCCGCGTGCAAATAACCTCTCTTTCGGAACGACCCGAGAGTAAAAAGAGCCCCTAAAAGCCGCCGATCATGAACGCGCACGTGAAAGGTGTATGGCGTAAAAAACTTAGGCACCCTCCACCCTCTTCTCCGAGCACCTTTTCTCAAAGCAGAGAGCAATTTAGGACAGTGCTTTGGCGCGACATATAAATGCCTGCAGGTTCATTATCCCCATAAATTTCGATTTTTACCCTGCACGGCCATAAAGACGGACAGGGAACGCCGTGGTCCGTCGGCCCAACGCTCGGCCAGTCCGCCAATTTGCTGCACGTGCACCAAAAAGCGCCCTCGTTTTGCGACCGAGGACCGGCAAGTTCGCGCTCTCGCGCGTAGGTGGAGCGAACCGCTTCAATTTCGGCTCCACACAGTCTGCTCTTAATACTTCAGCATTATTCCTACTAAAATTGCGAAGAGTTAACGGCAATTTTTAAAATGGAATAAATTTAATTAATTGTTTACCTGGAATGTACATTTGATTTGAAATAAAAATAAACGAGGAAAAATTGTTTTCCTAAAATTATACGATCTCAATTATACAGCTAAAAAAAACAAACATTCAAAAAGTTTTAAAATTTCCTTATTTTTAATTATTTAAATTGGTAGTGCAGATCTGTTAAGTCGGGTGATTAAAATTTCCTTGTATCAACACATAAAATTCCATTGGATTTTTCCTAATTCAATCATCATTAAATAAAACACGTAAAATTCTATATTTATTTGAAAGTATCTTCCAGAAAAAATGATTTTTTTTTTCGTTTCAAATACATTCCAATTCATTTAATCTCTCACAAAATTTAACAAAATACCCTTTTCTGATTTTAATTTTTAAATTAATTTTCCTAGCTCACTTAATAAGGACGCAGACCACAACCTACATTGATACGGCCTTTTTTTAAAATAAAGTTTATTTTTTTCACACACGACAAGCCCGTTTTCCACGTCAGTACAATATTTTAGATTATCTTAAGCGGTCTAGTGGTATCCTCTAGATTGAATTCCCATTTTGCTATTTGATGTGTTAGCAAAAGAAAATTAATTTGGGTCACCAATCCAAAACTGACCTACATATGTCTACATTTGTTCTGGGATTGGCAAGTTTATCAGAAATTCGTCAGAGATTAAATCGTTTAAGAGGCTAGGATTGCCTTTTTTATTTCCCTGCCGCAAGTCTAGAGATAATAAGTGCTTATTATCAGTGGAAGGTGTGCATTTCTGCAAGATTTAAAAAAAAGGCAGTCTTTGTATGTTATTTTTTTTTAAATATTTCATGAAAAATCTTACTCATTGTAATATCTTAAGTTATTTTTAATTCTTGAATATCATTAATGTTATGGATAAATAAGGATATTCAATTACTAAAATTTTTAATTCACCTACAATAATTTAATAATCTTAATGTACTATTAATATTTACGTAACTATCTATCTTAAATTTATTTGACATTAATAAAAAGAATTGATAGTAAAAAAAATAATTAATTCTAATATCTCTATATGTTCACAACGTTTAATTAACAAAGCGTAATTTGATTTTATTATAAAAGGAATGAATGTATTTAAATTTATTAAGTAAAAACTTTTTTTAAATATCAAAAGGCAGAATGATCAATAACTGATTTATATGCTCTTCATAATTATTTTTAAAAGACTTTTTTTTTACAAATTTCGCTTCCTTGTCAAATCTTTCAACCTACTGAAATTAGTTAGAGCTATAAATAAAAGTATACTTTGATATTTACCAACTTATCAAACATATACATACTAGTCACTTAAATTAAAGCGATAAAAGCAGCATGATTATTATGTTCGCGAAACAGTGGGCGTCTCATCATCATCATCATTTTATCGGTACTGCTATCAGTCCGCCGCGATAAGAGTTCGCCATCACCTCTCTCACCTGCCTGCACAGACTTGCTTACAACTCCTCAGTAGTTTTATGACTTAACTTTCGCGCGTTCGCCAAAAAAAGCAAGCCATGGCCGAGCACGGCGGCGGCAAGTTGAAAAGTGCGGTGAAAAAGTTGTTGGCCAAAAGTGGCGTCCGGTTGCAGGGCGGCTTCGACTTGAGCCCCGAAGACGAGGTCAAGGACACGGTCGGTGACCTTCCGCTGAGCGAGAATGGCATTCGAAGGGCTGACATGGGGCGCCGCTCCTCCCTGCAGAGGGCGCACAGTTTCATTCTGGACAAGGGGGCCAAAGCGAAGGGCAAGTGGAACAAGTTCAGTTCGTCCACGCTCGATCTCAGCACACTCTCTAGTCACGATTTGGAAATGCAGGTGAATTGATGATGCGATTGATTTATATTTTTATCCTAGAACCGAGCTAGAAATTTAGGGAATATTGAAGATAGTAACAATTTTTATTTCTTCAATTGGGTTATCAAGAAAAGAATTATTTGAAAATTTATATATATAATTGGAAATTTTAAACACCAATGTTGTTGACCATGTCAATGAGGAGTCCTTAAAAATAATTGTTATTATTTATTTTATAGGTTGAGGGAACCAGAGTTAAAGACGATTAATCTCGCCCCAGTTATCCGTGGGCCAGAGATTAATGCAACGAGATATGTTGCTAAAGTCATGCACATAGTTTCTTTTTCTGTAATGTCGTTGAATTTAACAGTAGATTTTTATCTTGATTATTGCGCGTTAATTTCTGTTTTAACTGGAAATCGGTGATTAGTGGTGAAAAGTACGTCAACATTAAACAGATTATAATTTATCATATTTATCTCAATCTAAATCGAATCATTAGTAATGAGGTAATTCTAATTGGCTCATTGTTAGTCAATGGTACAGGTTGAATAAATGTTTCAATTTTATTATACAAATAATTGTACAGGGATGCAAAGGAGAAAGTAGAAGTAGTAATTTTGAAGTGATTTTTTATAATATCAGCAATGGTGAACTGACGGAAGAAATTTAAATGTCATACTAGGCACCGTTTGTAAAAATCGCAGTCTATTAAACCTCTTTTCATTAATTTATAATGAACATATAATGAAAACTTACAAAATAAGAAAATTACGGAGGTCTAGTTAATGCAAGAAATAAATTGAGTACAATTTCAAATTTTGTGTTTCAAGTTCTGCGCTTTATCAGAGCGAGATTCTTTTTTCCAAGTTAATATAATATATTTTTTAAGGCCCCCGTAGCTTATTAGGCTATTGCGATGTAGAGAAATTAAAATATGAAAATATGTATTAAATTTTTAAAACGTTACCGACAATGTTGAATAATCATCAATTTAAAAATAATTAATTCACATAATGTTTTGAAAAACTGAAATTCTTCATTAAAACGGACATGCATTTTTTTTCTGCGGTTGAATTTGCAGAAAGCAATAAATATTTTCTGCTCAACAGTCTGCATGGAATTTTATGTATTATTGAATTTCTTTATTATTCAACACCCAATAAAATCATGTATAAAGTAGTTGTAAGTTGTAAAACTCATCAAGTTCAATTCTGCAGCAAACTAAGTCTACCTCAATCTTGATTTTTTTAAAGCTTAAAAGTGATTAATTTTATCCCATGTGTGTATTAAATGTTAAACGTCTTGTTTATAGGTGACCAAAAGCGGCCGACTTCGACTTGGCAGTGCTCCTAGCTGTGAAACTGATTCTGAAAAGCTTGCGGGTAAGTTTTGGCGGTCACTCTGTGTGTCTATGAATAGACGGGGGGAATTAGCGCGACCATTTTGTGCAATTTATTGCTACACTTGCTCCGTAAATCACGAGCATACGCCTCGCATGAATGAATTACGAAGTTTGAAACCCAAGGGAAAGCAGAAGTTATTGCTTTGCGGCGACCTTAAACTGGAGCAGTTGAAATATCGGTTTAAAAACTCGCCAAGAAAATCGAACAAGAAAGATTTCCTTATCTCCGCAGCTGCCTAAAAGTTGAACGTGCACTTTAATAGAGGGAGTGTGTGTATTTTTATTTTCATTTTCAGCACCGGCTTTTCCCGTGCGTGGAAAATATTTGACGTGCCGACGCGAAAATTTCACATATTTGCGCCGTAAATCATCCGACGGAGATTAAAACCGTGCGCAAATACCTTCGAAAATAAATCCGCTGACAATGCACTTTTTATAGCCGACGAAAAATCCACCCTTCCCGGTTTTGAAAAACTCACGCCCTGCGTTATCTACCTCCGGCTTATTTATGACGTTTCAGCACGACGTCCACCGGCCTCGTAAAAGTGAGCCTGCGTTTGCTCAACATATTAACTGAAAGTCTGTTCGTTAAAATCAAAACAAATACACGAAAACTTCCGTTTCTTTTGTAAACTACAGTTTGTCTTTTATTTTTACTCACAAGAACTAGTCCTAATTTTTTTGGGAATATCCAAATTTATATCCAATTATGTATTCAGGACTTTTGCCTAAAGAGTTTAACAATGCTATTTTTTTTATAAAAGAAAATAACTCGTTTGTTTGAATAAAAAAAATTATGTTAAAAATCACCTGGATCCGTCTGTTCAAAATTTGTTTGCACTCAGCGAAATAGAAACTCTCAGCCAGCTCTCAGCTTGTTATTTTAAATCAAGAACATGCTTAATCATCCGGTTTCTATTTTACGTCAAAACGCGAATCTAGATTTTGGTACCAAATTAGCGGTAGTGTTTTTCGTCAGAGCCCTCCTTCGAGCAGCAATTACTCTGATTCGAATCGCCGACCGATACAAATCCAGATACCGACACTCTGTTATTAGAGTAAAACGTACGTTATTTCGGTCAGATCGCGTGCATAGCACTCCCGTGCTTTCTTTACTTCAAAAATTCACCAAAGGATTGAAAAAGAGAAAAAATTGGAATACTAATAAAAATTAATTTTTTTTAAATTTTAAATTTTTTGTTGTTCTAAATCACATTGTTTGTTGGAAAAGGATTTCCTCCTTCAACAGTGTCGATATTTGCCGCCTTTATTGCCTTATCTTGCATGCCAGAGACCGGCGAGAAAACACCTTGATATTTTTATCGCAACTCTAAAAACTCGCTTGCAAAACTGAGTAATCCTTGCGTGCATCGCATTCCAAAATCAAGGCTAGTGCAGTTTTTTTTATCTTGTCAAATCTGTTTCTTTTTTTTAAGCCAATTAATCCTATTTTCGTAGGTGATTTGTTAATTTGAGGCAATCTTTGAGGAATGTATAATCAATAATAAATTCCTTGTTTTATTAATGAAAAATAAAAGAGGTTTATTTTAAAATTATTTCACTGGGTTTTGGAAAGACCAACAAAGAAAAAAAATTGAATAAAATGGAATTAAAATAAAAAATTCCAAAAATTTTAATTTTAAATTTTCATTCAAAAAGCCAAGTTGAATAATTTTAATATTATGGTAGATCTTAATTAATTGATCCACGTGTATATACTTTTTATTTCTGTGTGTTGTGATTTAATCAGTTTAAAATGATTTAGAATCAGAACGGGGGAGTGGTGGGATCGAGGTATGCAACCCGCTCGACTGCTTCGTGATGCGAATTGCATAGCCATTCATTCCACTTATCCATTCAAACCAACAAAAGTCAAAATGTGCACTTTTGAACGGCAAAATTTGATTTATTTCAACGTCCGTGCTGGAAAGGATGTGTGGAATGCTCTTGCGGTTTTCAAGCTCGATTCTGTTATCGCACTCCTTCCTCAAAAACAAGGAAACAAATGAAGCACAGTGGGGTTCTAGCAGCTCCGGCTCGTGCACACACAATTATTGGATTTTAATTTGTGCTTATACAAGCGCACAACGATTGCGTCGCTTGCCAGTAATTAGTCTCGGTGACAGTTATTAAAAATATTAGCATACGCAGGACTTAGTTAGTCAACGTTATTAATCCCGCGCGCCGCGTCCAATTTCCCGCCACCATGGGTAATTATTACTTTGCCAAAAATGTTTTCAGTTAAAATTTCTGGATTTATTTACAAGCGGAATCGCAAAAGCAGAAAAGGAAATCTTTTTTTGGTTCTTTCATGGATTTAGTTAGCCACAGCAAAAACTCTGAGTTGCCTGATATTCAGCTGAATTATGAATCACTTGGTATTTTGATTGTCTGATAAGCTGATGTGTTTTGTCTGACACAAGGATTTTTACTTGCAGGAAGCGATATCTCATCCAAAAAGAGCCACAAGTTTGATAAACACGAAAGGTAAGTCAGTTTCACCGCTAAATTTTTTGGTTTAAATTTTTACTTCGGAAAGATTTTTTTTATAATAAATTTTCTGAAAATGTATGGTGAAAATACTTCAAAGTATGTAAAACGAGTTCAGAAATTTTTATATCCGGTCGCGTGTCATTTCTAAAATAAATATTATTCAGAGGCATTTTAGCTTTTTATCAATGGGAAATTCCTTTAAATTTTAATTAACAAATAAAATATATTTCCTCCTTTCTTATCTCAATCCCGGGCCTGTTAGCAAATTCAAGCTGGAGAATAATAATGGAAAGCCCAAAAATATAACAAATAAGTCCCAAGCGCGATTCCCGAACGGACAAATGAAATTTACGATCCGCACTGGGAGTGACGCGCGAATTTATACCAAATCCCAGGCGGGTCGTATTTAACACGGAAACGGCACAGTTTTGCCACTTTTTCGCCGCCATAGGCCATATTTCCCGCTCCCGCTGACCATTATTTACAAACTATAGCCGTTGGAAAATGAAACCAGAGCACGCAGTGGAAAACAAATAGAAAGTTAGTGCGTCCTGCAAATCATGTAACTTTGATTAGAGAATAATATAGTGAACTGTTTCTTTCCACGGCGTATACTTTTGAACAAATTCAATCTGTTGAAATAATGGAGGAAGCATGGTTTGTGTTGGTGGCCTACTTTTCTTTCAAATGATAGACGTGACATGATTTTCCAACTGCCTTCTCCACTGACTTCCTCAGAAATATTAATAATTCATTTTATGCGTTGTATTTAATAATTTAAGATAGCAAAAGAAGTTTTTACAGTCCAACGTGATTTTTTTTTTAAAATTTAAAAAATTATTACGTTATATCTTGTGGTTGCCATTTGTTATTTGCTGTAAAATATTCTTCCTATTTTATTGAATTTAATAAAATCAGCTTTGTTAAAAATTTTTATCAATAAAAAAATATGATTTTTAATTTTAAATTAATTACTCACAATTAGATATTGATTGATTTTATTTATAAATGTGTTAATGTTAATATGTTGAATTCATGAAAATTTTAGTTTAAAAGTTTCGCTTGTATATCTAAAAATTCAATCACAATTTGTTGAATTTTCATAAAGAAGGATTTGAATTAAATTAATTATGTAATTTCATCTTTTAACTATTTTATGCCAGTTTATAATGAGTCAACATAGATTCTTTTACATCATTTTTATTATTTTATAATTGGCTCCAATTGAAACTTGATCTACTTGAAAAGCTTCCACTATTCAAATGCAAGCTGTGTCTAATTAGCAGTGCTCGCGGACACGCAGATGCACTTTTGCTCTGCCACACCGTTTGTCACTCGTCGCTGCTGACGCGACCGTCCGATTCACTTCCATTCACTCGTTCCACTCATTGTGCGCGAGCCTGGCATTCATTTGTGCGAAATGCCGTCGCCGCGCCGAGCAGGCCGATTTTGCTCAGGCGAAAACCATTACCAAGATGAGAAATCTCGTGGGAGAACGCGCGACTGACTGTATACGACGCACCAGTAGCAGAAAGTCATTATTTTCCATCGCGCCTCGCTCTCTCTCCCTCGCACACACGCACACAATCATAATCAGGAGCATGACGTCCACACTGACGGCATATATCTTCGAATGGACTTTTTTTTGGAAAGCGCGCGATCGAGATTTTCCGTCTCCGCAGTTGGTTCAGATTTTGTATCATTCCTTTTAAAAAAAAGTTTTTTTCTTCTGAACAACTACAGATAAGATATTTATGACTAATTTTTTAACTGTTTTTGGCGATTCAAATTTTCGTATGAGTTGTTTGCTTCAGAAAGAAGCTTATTTTGTCAGGAGAAAATAGGCTTGCAGATTGATCACACTGAAACTCATGTAACAAGCAGTGAAAAATTACTGAAAATAAATATTTGTTGGTGAAATCCTCTCCACTAATATTTAATTAAATAATGTTTTTATAATTTAATAAATTTTAAGGTTTTACATAGAATCGGGCCAAATGGTATATTTATATGTTTAAGGCTTCTGCAGATTAATGCTATTATTTTTTATTTTTTTTGTTTGCTGTGAAAACTAGAATGAAATATTGACAATGCTCTTTTCTTAGTTAATGATTTCAGCGTGACAAGTTTTTAAACGTCCCTCATAAAGTTCAAAATTTGGTCAATTTTCTTACTAAATTGTAAGAAAATGCATTTTTTTAATTTTATGTGATCATTATTGATTGCAAAATTAAACAAACTAGAGAATCCCCTAGCAAACTGGTATAAAATAGCTAATTTTTTATAGTTTCCAAGCATTGTTTATTCAATTCAAAATTTAATTTAATTATAATAATAGCATGAAATGAGTTAAAAAATGCATTAGTTGAAATAAAAGGAGATATTTTTAAGACGTTTTTACATGGTTTTACTGGAACTGTGCGAAAAAAACTTAAAAGAATGGAATACAAACCAAAGTTTTGAATTTTAATTGGGAAATTCATTTTATTAAATGACTCAAATATTAATATTTTTGAGTCTCAAAAGTAAAAAAAAAAAATCAAGCAAAACAACACAAACAAAGACACTGCTCTACACTAATAAGAATTAAAAAAACACACGTACACTACATCTATTTGAAGAAAGGAGATAATTTTACAAAGGGTTATTTTTCCTATTGTTTACTTTTTACAAAATTTTCATATCTAATTTTTTGTTATTTTTGTTTCATAATAATCAAAATAATCTATTAGATCGATGAGCGAAATAAACGACCTCCCTCTCAAATTGAAAAAATCGCGATCACGTGCTTTTTTGCATTCTACGGGTGATAAGCTTTGAGGAGGAAACCAATCTAGTAAAAGCTTCGCACCTTGTAGCGAGCGCGTGTCCTTTCAGCAAATACAAACAAACGCGCACAGTATATGAAGAGTCGATTTTTTCTTGTTTGCAGCGGTGAAAAGGAAAAAGACACCACTTGGTCCTCGGAGAAAAAACGGCGGTCGAACAAAAAGAACCACCGACTCAAAGCGCCCGCCAATCAGTTGACCAACTCGAGCGACCTTTGCCTCAACACTACTCAGAGTCTAGGCGAGGAGCAGCAGCAGGTAAGAGAGAGAAATTCTATATATCCCTGCTTATATTTATTTGCGTTGAAGCAGCGGCCCAATTTTTATCTCCACTCTCGGGCAGACAATGCCGCCGAGGGGGTTCGCCAAGAAGTTTATTTATTCTCCTAGCCGATATTGCTCGGCGTCTTTTTCTCGTCTTCGGCGCCCAAAGAATTTTACCCAGAAGCGTCTCCGCGAAATATTTTCACAATAAAATGTTTGCTTTCAGTCAAGATTAATAAAAGATAGAACGCCTTAAATGGCGGCAGGACAGAATGTGATCGGAATTTAATTGACCGCTCTCATAGAAATGCGAGACACTTCAGGGTCCATAGCTCGTCTCAATAGGTAGAAATTTTTTTATAAAATGGGTTGGCATCACCAGACAAACTTCAATCGATCATTCCAAGATAAAATCAAGACATCTCGAGATAAAAAAATTTATTTGGCAAAAAAATTGCTCCTTATTACATCCGTCATTTCTGACAGGTCTCTCATGCAGTTTTTAATTTACTTAGAACGCACCACGACCTTGCAAAATGCACATTGCCAAGTTGTACGAGAAATTTATCAGACTAGATTTTAGCAACTTCAGAATTTTTTGCTTATAATAATATTTTTCATTCTCGAACCTCGCAAAGCATATTAATTTTACCAAAATTACTTGTTACTTATCATTTAAATTTTCCCAAACTTCATGATGTTAAATTAATTGCACTAGTAATCTGGTGATTCTGGGAAACATTTTCTGAGTTTTATAATAATTTAATTTAATTTCCAAAAATACCATACCAAAAGCTACATAAATTATAAATAATTAAAATAGAAACCAAACATCGGAGTAGAAAATTTTAGCTGTAGATTAAAGTATAAAATCAGTCTGTGAATAATTTATAGAAAATCTATAGAAATCTAGGGAGGGAGGATCTAAAAAAAAAAATTTATTTTACTTTCAGATCTTTTTTTAATTTTGTCTAAATTAGAATATTTTATTTAACTCTTTCTGAATTTACATTACAAAATATCTAATAATATTTAAATTTAAAAATCCTCAAGTTACCAAAAAATATTTTTTGGTAAATAAATAAATCTTCTTTATTACTATAAACTCTCGTATATTTTATCGCACTAAAAAGAGCCTCGTCGGTAAGCCCCTTGTGATGATAATTTGCATAAATCTACCTGACTTGATAGATTTTTTGCATGCTAAATCAAACGTCGGCACGGTCACGGTCGCGAGCACAGTTGGCAGAGACGAAGTTAAGGGAGAAAAGTAATTTGTGCGGTCAGGCAGTCAATAAGAGTTTTTTTCCCTCTCTCGGCATGTGCGGGTAGGCCGATGAAGCAAGGGTCTTATATATTGAGAGCGTTGGAATTAACTCTCTCTCGCAGGCTGGGCGAGATTTTATCAGATTATATTTCAAAAAGTTTGTGAAAACGAAGAGCGGCGTTATCGCGCGCAGGGCGGAGAGGCCAAGGGTTGGCTGATGGATTTCCCTTTTTAATCCGGCAGCCGAGTTTTGTGTGCTTCTGGTTGCATCAAGCGCACGCGACTCGCTTTTTGATTGCGTTTCCCAGCACACCTAGCTCGGGATAATCAGGCCAGGAAAAGCGGGCACCGTCTGCTGCCGTTGGAGCTATTTATGCTGACGGGGCGGATCATGCAAATTAGTCACTCGCCGCGAAGGGGGATGAAATTTAGCACGCAATCTGCTTTTTTCCACTGAAACGGGGTTAAATTTCTGTTTCTCTCGAATAAATTAGTCGGCTTTGTTTTTCTGAAACAAAGCAAACAGTGCTGGGATGGAAAAGTTACAATAATTTCTCTGAACGCGATTTAGCCTCCGTTCGTGTAAAATTAAGAATAAAAAAAATACTTCTTTATTTATATTTGTGTCTGATAATTTATTATCTTTAATTAGCCTTCTATTAAGTTGCGGAAACGGGAATTTTATTTGGCATAGAAATTAATTATGATTTTAAATCAAATCTGAAAGTGTAATTATTCAAACACCCTAATCTTTTGGATTGAATGAGAGTGTTATATCTTTAAAAGTTTTCCCATTATGAATGAGAATCGAGGGTTGTATATTTTTAATTAATTGTTATTTTGTAAGTTTTACTGTGGAATTAGAAACAATTTACTCTTCAAGAAGTAAAGTAGGAATTTGCAGAGCCAAAAATTGCTATAAAATCCCTTATATTTCTTGTAATTCAATAATAATAGAAGCAGCTAGGAACACACAAAATAATATATTTTTCCTTGCCTCGTGATGTATTGCTAAAAATTCGATTCAAATGAAATTGGTAAATCATTTTTCGTTTTATTAGTAAAATTCCAAAATGAAAAACAATTCACAAATAAATATAATATTTTTCATTTATTTTTGTTCTAACTTTGCACAAATCATGATTTTAATCATTTTAATTTGAATGTTCTAACTGTATCATTTGGATTTTGTTTTTGCTAGACTGGTTTATTTTTATTTGATCTCGTTTTAGATTTATTATTGTAGTAAGCTGAATTTTTCTCTCTATAACTGTCTATAACATTCTCTCATTCTTTTTGTGAAGCCGCGCGTTTCAAGAACACCGCAGTGCAGAAAAGTTTTAATGAGATTGCTGCAAAATGAACTGGCCTCTGCTATCGACAAACGCGTAGGTCGAAGAAATCGGAAGACTATTTCCATCATCAATTTTAACAAGTACAATGGATGGAACGATTTCTAACAATATACGATGTTTCCACTTACTAAAGACAGTAAAGACGTTTTGCAAAAGGCGGAACATAATTATGTGGAAGCTTTCTTTGAGCTGAGAAGAAAAGCGCGGCGGCGCGTGAGCAGGGGGAAAACTTTAACGGACCGTGTTTTGCATGCTGGACAAACTTTCGTCGGCAATTAGCCCCCAACCGCCTCTTCGAAAGCACCTTGGCAGGGCGGGTCCTTAAAGTAGGGACATTAAAAGCCGTCGGGAAATAACAGAAGGCTCCTTAATTGCGCTTTTTTAAAACTCCTTTTTTATGAGCCGGAAAACAATTGCAAGGGTAGGAAACTTTTGCCCGAAACGAAAACACGCTCTCCGAAAATAGAACTTAAAGCAGATTGATTTTGCTTGCGCGTTTATATTTAGAACAGCAACCGTTCACGCATCGTGTTTTGATTGAGTTTTAAGCTCGTGATGAAAAACTTGCGGTCCTTCTACCTGCGTCAACAGCACAGGATCTGCATAGTTAATTGGAAAGGCCCACCGGGCATTAAAGACTTTACTTAGCGGCAGTGATCGCTCATCCTGTGGGCGTCAACCATAAATCAGAGTAAAGTGCAACCAACTCACTTGTAGATTTAATGGTCAGCTAAACTTCCATCATAAACTGAAAAATTACAAAATGGGTGAATTGTATTTTTAAATAAAAATTTGTTGTAGTGAAAGAAAAACATAATTTAATTAAAACAAGAGAAAATGGATAAAATAATCTAATGTATATGCTCAAAGAAAAGTTTCACTTTCAAGAAAATCGTTTCAATACAATTTAAACTTTTTTTTGCGTTTTCCTAAAAAGAAATTTGAATTTAAATCATCTTTTAAAACAAAAACAATGCCGTTTTCTGCCCATTAAATACTTGAAAGCTAGTCCAGAGAATCCATATTGTGTTCCTGTAAAACTCTGGGAAAAGATAGGTCAAATAACCCTCTTTTCTTTATGGTTCGCGTCCCCTAACTATTAATAGTAAGCTATAACTGCCACAATATTTTTCGGAGTTTTTGAAACTTTTTCAAAGAATGTTCATAAATTTTAGGGAAAGTTTCATGTAAATAAATATGGGAAGGTTTCTTATATTATATTTTACTCCAGAATCTCACATTTCTTTGAGAATAAAAATGAAGTCTTTCCATTTGATTTTTTTTCATGATTAGAACGATTATTCTAATTTTGTTTTTAATAAGAGAACATTTCTTTTATCATTTAAAGAATTTAATGTTCCTTCAACTCTGACGTGAATTGAAAATGGGAGAGTGAATTCTTCAATCAAATGTCACGATGAGTGATGAAGATTGAGCGGAATTCGCTCGCCGCGATCTTTATAAACGCATAAAATCTGAAGCGGCGCCAACAACAATGACGCCATGAGTGGCACTGTTAGTTAATACACACAGGCCTTTTCTCTGCGCCGGGGAAAAAACAATGCGTGGCCAAACAAATGAGTTGGAGCGGCGAAACGCACAGCCTCGTCGCTGTCCAGGCGCATCTTCGGTGGGCAGGCGCCGTGGTGTCAGGCGCCAGCATATGAGAGGCTGTCGGTGGAAAACGGCAGGCAGTGTTGGTTGGGCCGACGGACGGTGTGAGCGCTCTCCGAAACGACGGTGGAACCCAAAGAGTCTCGCAGCGGCGCCCCATCGCCCAACCAGCATGACTGGGGACGCAGAATGCTCGGCTCCCTGCGCCGCAAGAAACGGCCCCCGCCGCCCCCGATGGCCACCACCCCCGTGGCCGCAGCGACCGACAGCTTCGAGTCGGATGTGCTTGAAGAGCAGCAGGTCAACCCTGGCAGCCCCAACACGCAGGAGGACTTCCTCAGGGCCACCATGCGGATCTTCCTGGTAGTGTCGCCACCTGTCCGCGGCCAAATGAACCAGGTATGCATTTACATACTGCAGGGATAAAATTATGCAAGAGAAATTTTCAATCGTATCCAAAATCTGGATTTACTTGAAATTGGAAAAGGTTTTCAACCTGGAAAAAGACGAGGCCCGAGGCTTAGACTCCGATTTCAAGTGAAGCAAAATAGTCGGCTCGGATCAGGGAAATAGGAAACCGTGTCTCCGCAGTACATCTTCATGTTTACATAAAAATGTGACAGGGAAAAGACCGTTGACAGAGGATGGATGTAAGCTGATATTTATGAGAATCTTCTATATGATATTTTTATCAAAATTTTTGAACAGTTCTTTCCTGCATGAGACTATCAAGATTTCCTGGCCCTTAAAAAGAATTT